AAGGATACAAGGGAAAGATAAGCTTGGTATACACGGATAAGTTTGATAGAGTTGAAGCTCTATCTCACTTGTGGAATATCTATTATATTAGGCTATGGATTCATGGGGTGATAAGGATAAGCTTTAAGTATTCCTTTATGGGCTAGGAACCTCAAGGCTCTCACCCTATAAAACTAAGGCTTCAGTCCCCACTCTTATGCACTGAAAACAGACTCATATTCCTACCCCAAACAGGAGAGATTTAGAGTGCATAGAGAGAGGAAGACCAAGGTCAGTGCATGTATTTTGTTGCTGTTGCTGTGCTTGCTCTAACGGCTTCCCAAGGTTAGTACTTATAGATTACATATGAAATAGAACTTACAAAAGCATGTAAAAAGGAATACAACTAAGTGGCTAAACATAATTATAGACCATGTACGCATTTGAGTAAGCAATGTCTAAACAACAGAGGAAGAAATCTAGGTGTAACTCTACCTGTTTCTCACTCGCAGAGAGGGACCTCCATGCATTGTCTACCATATATCGGACATTTTGACCCTTCACTTTCCCTGAATCAGTACTTTTCAACCGCTCACATTCTATCTTGAGGAAGATATGATACGCACTTTGTGCCCCTCGTGGAGCACCGACACGTTTCTTCATCTCTTTGTTCTTTGAGTGCAGCTGGGGGAACTGCTTTTGTTCGGCAGATGTAGAACCTAATGAAATTTGCAATACAAAGGGGTTCTGAGTAAGTTATGACTCAAATTTGCAGATGTAGGTGTAAAGTTTGAGAATTGAGTGAATTGTATTGAATCTCAGACTATGTACTTCAAACCTTTACAACTTTATAAAAATGGAAAGAATAAATCTATGCCTAAACTGTAGCTTTTGACAGCAACCACAATATATGCAAATTGATACAGAAATTAATGAAGCCAACCGTTGACATTACAACTCTTTAACAGTAAGACCACCTTTCAAGCCTACTCTATTCCTACATAAGTTCGATGACCATTCAATGTATGATTGCAACATGCAACGTTTTAGTTTGCCGAATTTAATCTACCAAGCAATAGTGACATACCCATCAATGTTAGTTGATAATTCTCCTTGGGCACCTTCTTCTCCACAAGAGCATCTTCAAGATTGAGTATCGGAGATGAGTTGTCCCTACAGTTCCCTTCCATTGCTGAGCTATCTCCAATATTGTGGAAAGCATGACCTGAAATTTTTATCCTAGTGAGGTTTAAGCATCATCTTTATCTAGCTAATACATGTAGTTTATACCAAGAAAATAAAGGTACTGCATTACAAATTAAGTACCTAAAAACTCTTACGTCCAGGCAAGTAATTAAATGCAAATCCAATTGAAAATATGCACTTCTCTAGAAGGTTATCTCTAGCTATTGTACCTAGAGTCGAAGCAGCTTTCACACGAGGTTCCCTGTAATAGTAAAGCTGTTCATACTGGTAGAGAAAGAGTGCATAGAGTTTTAAAAGAGGTTGAGGATCCTGCACATTCTCCCCATCTAATTTTAGGGCCAGTGCAACTTCACCCCACCTCCCATCTGCCGTAACCTGGAAATTAACCATTACAAATCTCAGTAATCTCTTGTCCTGTGAGGCTGTAACTTCATCCCTTTCAATTTTTAAGGTGAAAACCACTTGATCTTATCTTGAATTGATATTCATACAAAGGGTTAAACTAAAGATGCCATTCAAACCCTGTTTTGCATCAGAGTTATACACAGTTTATCCAAATGTGTAAGTTCAGAAATTCAGATAAATGATCACAAGACAGACCTTTTGGATGGTTATAAGGTATCATTAATTTCTTTTTCACTAAATAAATAGGTAAGAATGAGCAAGTGATAGAAATAAACCTGAATAAATCCTCCTCTTTCAATAACTTCTTTGTAAAACAGATGCAAGTCCAGTGTTGTTTGTCTGAGATCAAAACTGCCCATTGAAAGAAAGATACTCAGATTAATTTTCACATTGAAACAAACCGATCAGAAGAGATCGCCAAGTGAGAATATAAGATAAAATATCTAAACCAGTAATTAGCATTATAATCATATATCAGCTTCCTATATATTCCACATGCATAAGTAAACCGAAGCTTGAATCAATCTTTTAAACATACTTAAGTAGCATAATCAAGCCAAATATGAATGTGACAAGAGTTATCTGAAGTTTTATGCCCAACATATTCAATGGCACTACTGATTTCTGAATTAGAAGGTTCCAACTTGTGAGTGAGCAAAGGTTCCAACTTTGCTTCTTGTGAGCAAAGATTCCAACTTTTCTCGTCTTTTTCAAAGATTCTAACTTTGCTTTTCTTTTTTCCCACAACTTTCTCAAAACCACACATGGTATATATGAACAAAAGTTAGTGTTCGAAAAATCCGCCTAGGCGGGAGGACTAGGCGGCCTGGGCGGGTCTGGAGGAGAAAATGCTTGCTTTTCTCTCAAAAATTTAAAAAAGCTTGCTTTTCAACACATTTCAAAAGCTAAAAACATAATGAAATTCCCCTGAAACCCACTTGAACGCAGAAACAGAAAATAGAAGAGAAAACCAAGAAGCCCAAAACTCTAAAAATTAGGAAAACTCACAGAAGGTTCAGCCCAGATGAGTTGTGCAACTTGTTGAGTCTCTGATAGAAACTCTCAATCTCAGAGTTCTCCAACTCCAGCAAGCTTTTCCCATCATCAGGCTCAGAAAGTGTCACATTGGAATTCATAGTAACAAGGCATTGAGAGCCATTTTTCTCAGTCTCTGGCTGGTTCTCAGTAGTCTTCATGTTGGAGAGAGAGAGCTTCACTTCAATGGCTTCACTCTGCTCTCTTTTCTACATTTGTAATCCCGAAAACTAAAGCCATCTGTCTATACATAGACATGCACATTAAGCGCATGTTGGTGTTGATGCAAAATGGATTAGCTTGTGGGTTTACACGTAGCCCCCCACCCACTGTGGGGTAGATGAAAATGAAATTACCACTGACACAAAGCTGTTCTCTGTCCCAAGAATGAGTTGTTTAGGATAGTTTAGCCATTCAATCAATTTTAACGTCAATTTTTTATATAACGATGATATTGGATTTATTGAATAATGGTGAAAAGGTGTACAATAAGAATGTTGCAGAACACAAGAAACAACAGTCATTTTTCACTTTTTTGGTGAAACCATGTTACACCCAAAATATGTATAAATTATACTTACATGCCACTAAAGTTTGCACCAAGTGGACTTGGAGGAAGCATCATAAACTAACCAACCCTTAAACACAAGAAATTACAGTCATTTCACTCTTTTATTTTTGGTACAAGTGATTGGGCGAGGGAGTTTACACAAGCATTCCTGAGTGCATGGGGTTTCATTATTAAAAGGCTTTTTATTATAAATGGTCCTTGACGTTTACGAAATTATCACGAATGGTCCTTGAGGTTTTTTTGTGACACTAATAGTCCCTAACGTTTGGACTTTTTATCACAAATAGTCCTTGCCGTCAAAAATTATGTTAAGTGTATGATGTGGAAGATAAGTGGAGCCCATATGTACAATCACGTGACATGTGGATTAAATAAATAAATAATTTTTTTTTTAATGAAAATCCATTAAAAAACCATTTAGAGAGTAGAGAGAGAGATAGGCTAAATGGTTTTTTTAATGGATTTTCATTAAAAAAAACAATATTTATTTATTTATTTAATCCACATGTCACGATGTGATTGTATATGTGGGCTCCACTTATCTTCCACATCATACACTTAACAGAATTTTTGACGGCAAGGACCATTTGTGATAAAAAGTCCAAACGTTAAGGACTATTAGTGTCACAAAAAAACCTCAAGGACCATTCGTGATAATTTCGTAAACATCAAGGACCATTTGTGATAAAAAGCCTTATTAAAATGCTGCAAAATTTGCAGGGAATGGCTTAAATTTCAAACCGCGCGATCCTGCAATGTGGCAATTTTCCATTTTTAAGAATAAACGTTACTTTTATTCTGTAATATTAATGTTATTTGATCATATGTATTTATTTTCTACCAAAGTCAACATATTAGGCAAGAATCCGTTTATAGACAAATATATATGCATATAAATGGCACGAAATTTATTCCTTTTCTATATTGAAAAATTTCTGTACTTGCTCATATTTACTTTTTTTTTTTTTCTGTTACAATATTTTATACAGAGATTAAAAAACAAGTAGACTTGAAATATCAATGCATTGGCTTTCTTTTCTTTCTTTTTCTGGGTTACAACTTACACCAATATGTTAATGTGTAGATTCCATCCTCTCAATCTCAGCTTCCAGCTCAAATAAATTAAATATATATATATATATATATATATATATAGTCTCCTTCTATTTAGGGATCCCAGAAATAAAATTATTTGAGGAATACCATTTAGGGTCCCCTACGAATTTGTTTTCAACGATCCAAACCATCGATTTTTTAAGTCTACATTCATAAATCATACTTGCAAAAAATTAGACAAATTGGAAACCGTTTCGATATCCAGTTGTGTCCTACAAAATCAATGAACACGGTGCTTCAAGAAAGTACTAAAATTTCAATAATTCAATTGAGTGTGGTCTAATGATATTAGATTTAAGTGATTTTTCGTAGAGATGATCTTTGAATGAGTATCTACGAAATAGACAGTTTGGATTAGTGAAATACAATACAGAGTGGGTCTTACAAGGGTGTCTCTCAAATAAGCTTATTTGAGGGATCCCTCAACTGAAGTCCCCTGTATATATATATAAACAATATTTAGAAAAATTAGTGTATAGTGACAAAAAAAACTTTAGTAATTAGCATATGATACATGACCTATTTTTGTTTTGGATATGGTGGATGAGTTCTAAATTTTATTTTGTTAAAAGCCAATGACCCTACCCATGTGCTTTTTAAGCTTGTTTAATTTGTATTTGAAATAACATTTTTACCCTTTGTATTTTATATGGGAGCCAGATCACACCCCAGCTTGGAATTCAATCCTAAACGAAGACCACGGTCCACGAGGTCGCAACCACCACCAACAACGACCATGGCTAAGAAGGTCATTGCAAAGCGCCAGAGAAAGCCCTTTTCCTGCGGAGAAGCAATAGGAGGATCGACAGCGGAGAAGGCGTCTTCCGTCGTTTTCCAGTGGAGAAGCAAGATGAAGGAGAAGGCGTTTTCTGGCGGAGAAGCAATTGATGACGACCATGGCTCGTCCTGGCGTCACGAATGCCGACGGAGAAGGCGTTTTCCGATCCATGGAGAAGCAATCGGAGGATCGATGCTCGCGGATTCGCAAAGCTCGGATGCGCATAAGCAGATTTACTTATCGTAGTGTTTTTATGTAATTTGCTTCTATGCAATGACTGTTGATCAGTAGTTGGTTTTGGTTTCTTTCCTCATCTTCCTTACTTTTGTTTTATGTTAAAACTCATGGTTATATTTTTCCAGGAGAAAGTGGTGAATGATGCCAGCTAAATCTAAAGATGAAGATCCAATATAGAACACGGTGCCCAAACTGTGCTGGAATCAACTATCTACGCCCAACCTTGGTGGCGTGGAGTGGGGAACAGTTCATCGTCAGGTGAAAGTGCTCCAGCATCATCTTTGGTGGATCATCGTGATAGTATGGTCATGAATGGAGCTATGCAGTCACAAGCTAATGCTAGGCTGGATGGTGGAGCCAACTTCAACAAAGAATTGCGGACTACAATAGGATCACAGTCTGGTAGTTACTTTTGCATTATCATTTCCCATGGGAAAATTTCATGTGACTTCTTTTTCTGAATAGGAAATTTTCACACTTGCTACTATATGAAATTAACTATAAAGTAATCATTATGAGAAACCTTTCTTTAAAAAAAATTATTTATAATTATTTACTAAGCCTTTGTCTTCTTTGTGAGATTGAAGGACATAATGCATCATCAATTTGACATCCTAACCAAGACCTTTCAATCTGTGAAATAAAAGGAAATTTGAAGGTTTTTATAATTGTGATAGTGCTTATGATCTAAACTAAATAGAACTTGATACAACTAAGACTAGCATTTGTTGGAGAAAAAAAGAATTAAAGTAGGCCTTAGACACTTGTGGTTATTTATTACAATCTTTCTCTTACTAGCTTCTTGTGTTGTGGGTGGGAAACTAAATCTATTTGAGAAAAAAGGAACTGCATTAAGAAGGTGAGAATCCTTGTACTCTCCCTGTGTGTGTTTTGGTTAGGGTAGGGTGGGGAACTAGAAGATGTGCAATTGCTATGGATTTTATCTCGATCTTATTTCAATTCTGTAGTACGGATTTGATTTCCAAAAAACGAGACTTGAAACCAAGAAAATTTACTTGTAAAATCCCTGAACCATCCTTGATACCTTGCTGAGCAAACCCAAATTAACCTTTCCCTGATAGACATAGTGCTAAATCTGAAGAACCTGTATCAGATTTTCCCAGAGCAATCTACTTTATATCAAAAGGTCTCCTAAAATCGACACTCGCTCCAATGGACTTATTGTTTTTCTTCTTCTTTGTTGGTTTTCACAGCTAAAGAATTATTGTGATTAAAGAAAAGATCCTTGTACCCTCTTGTTGAAGAGTGTAAAAAGTAACCTAATCTTCTTATATCATTATACTATACCAGGCTCCCTTGTTAACGATGAATTTTAGCTAAGACTGCATTGCAATACCAGGCTCTCTTAGTTCAGTGAAATTTTATACAGATTCTGCATTGTAGTTTTGCACAAACTACATTGCAGTTTTGGAAACTGCATTGCAATTTTCATTTAATTACAATTGGATTTTTACTCTTTCCTTGGCCTTCAACCTCACCAACTTGAAGAGTATAGGCTGCCCAGATAAGGAATTGAGTGGGCAAGAGAAGAGTAGAACTACCCAAAAGCAAGGCAACTGATGCGTTTCGTCTGCATATATCTTTTTTCACGGAAATTGGATTATGCAGCTGTTTACTATCTGGAGGTTGCATGTGTTTCGTTTGCATATATCTCTTTTTGCTCTTTGTTTCAAAATCACGAGCCAAGTGATGCTTTCGTTTACATATATCTCTTTTGCTCTTTGTAGAAAACAGAAACTGCAATGCAGAAAACGGAAACTGCATTACACAAAACAAAAACTGCATTGCAGAAAACAGAACGTGCAATGCAGAAAACAAAAACATGAATAACCTATTTTACATTTGATAGGATTTTTAGTACCAGCGCAAAGAGGGTTAAAATCACTGAAAATACTTGCAAAAATACAAGGCTATTGTAGTATAGATGCTCATGCAAGGTCGTTCTCCTCAAGGATTATTTAGTAATTAATGTAAAAACAATCTCTAATTAACTACTTGAAATTAAGGCTGAGAAGGATGATTCTAAAATTGTCTAAAAACTACGAACGTTGATTAAAAACAAATATGATCAAAGAAAAGAGTTTTATAATATAAAAGCACTAGGGTTTCACCATCACCTAGCAATCATATGAATTTTTACCAATTACTTATGATCTGCACATGCCACTTTGAAGGTTAGGTTTTCCTAATTTATATTATACTTGGAACCTCCAATATAGAACGTATATCTAACATGCAACCCATCCGGACGTTCGGATCAAATCTGAACATGAAAGACTCATTATGTTTTGTGAAAACCCTTTGAAAAACCATGCAACCCTTAAGAGGTGGTGTTCATCTTAAGTGAAATTACAATTACTAATCACAAGAAGCCAGCGTCAATTTTAGGGAACCTTCCGACCAAAATTGCATCCAATTACTTTTCTAAAGATCCTAATAGTGATTAGGCATTAAGACAATTAAATAGTTTTAAAACAGTGATTAACAATTCAAAGTATGCATGCAATCAATCATAAGCAATTAAATAAAAATTACATCTTCATGCTAAGGTTCAAGGCTTCACCCTAGCAAAAGAGAATTAGTTACGCATATTCATAACTGAAATCATGGAAAATATTATTAAGAAGAAAAAGAATGAAAACACCTTAAAGTTGCAAAACTCCAAAACCCTAGAAATTGCTCTCCACAATGTCACGTTCAAAAGCCAAAAAAAAGCCCCAAAAATTGCTGTGAAAAAGAACTTAAATACCTCCTAAAACCTAGCTTTTCTATCCCCGCAAGGAAACTAAATAAAATAAAATAATAACAGGACATAAAGTCCAAATTGGATTGGGAGAATCTGCCCACAATCTGCCCAGCCACGTTTTGACCTCAAATCTCCTCCAAATCCAGCCCAAGATAGCTTGTTTTAAAGATAAAAACGTTCTGAACACTTATCTAGAAGGCCACAAACCCATCTGAGGTCATCTTGGGCTCCAAAAATGCAATAAAGGTCTAAAACGTCATTATTCTAGCACCGCGCATTGCTCCTTTATTTTGTTGCCAGAAAATAACTGCTTTGTAGAAAAATCTGAAATTTTCATAGGATCAAGCTAAGTGACTCACGAACGTCCTCCAACTAGAATTACTCCAAAATTCATCCATTTGATTATGTTTTGCTCCAGAGGGAGTTGAAAGTTCTATATTGGATATATAATTCAAAGTATCAAAATTCTTCCAAAATATTAACCAAAATATACTAAGAATATAGTTAAATATATAATATAAAATCTACCCATCAACATTCTAGGTGGTCTTCAGTCTGATTCCTCCCCTCCCAACATGTCTTGAATAAAAAAAATATTGTTTGTTTTGTTTAACTTTAGAGCTGAGCATTTTTGCCTAGGCTCAGCATTGCAGTTTCCATTTTTTTATTGCAGTTTCCATTTATGCATTGCAGTTTCCGTTTCTGCATCGCAATTTCCATTTTAGTACTTTCATCTTGGTTTTCCATTCTGGTTCCTCACTTATTAATATATTTATTTTTCCTCATACTCTGGAGTGTAGTTTGCAGTTTACAGTATTTGTTTTTTGTTACATCATTGATATCTATATTGTTTTTGCGTGAATATGTGTTGAAATGATTTTTTTTTTTAAACCGTTGACTGTTTATATAAATATTGTATAACTGAATAAATATTACAAAATCAAGTTTGGTCTAGTGGTTTGTGAGTGAGCCCTTCTCCTTTGAGGGTTAAGGTTCGAGTCCCTTCAATGACACAAAATCTTTTTTTACAGGTGAATAAAGGGTAACAAAGTTGGTCCCCTCCAAACGATGGCAGGATGGTGATGGTGATGGTGATGGTGATGGTGATGGTGATGGGCGGTGGCCGGCAGCGCGGGAGTCCGGCGTTGGCAGAGGATGGTGTGCGGCGGCGTGCAGCCGGCGGTGACGGTTGGCCGAATGTGGACGTGTGGTATAGTATACTTGCCTTAGAAGGAGTGACATTGTGTGTAATTTTAATATTTGTTAATGATATTATTGTAAAACTAGGTACTGCATTTTGTTCTTTGGTCTTATGCTAATTATATGAAATTGTATTCCTATCTTCCAAACTAGTAAACTATTTTGTGTTTTAAAACTAAAGCTCCCAAAATATTTTGGGTTAATTTATAAAAATCCTCCAAAATAATTTTCTAGCTTTTTTTCAGTTAAAATTTAACTTTAAGGCAAGTATGTGTTCTAGGCATGTAATTAAGGACATGATTATTTATATTTATGATCAGTATGAAAAATACCAATTAACTCTGGAAGATTTTATGGATAACGGATAACGGGTTGACACGTTTATGAGAAGAAAATTTTCTTTCCAATATGAGATTTATGAGTAGATTAAGGGCCAGTTTGGCATTGCTGTGCTGTGAAAATAATCGCTGTTAGATTTGCTGTGAGAGAAATCAGCTGTAAGAGAAAGCTGTTTGGCGTTTGGTAAAATTTTTGTTAAAAGTGTTGTTGATATTGATTTTAACAAAATCAGAAAATAATTGTTGCATTATCATTAAACCCAACGCCTCTTCAAAACTGATTTCTGCATAATCAGAAAATGACAGCAACTCATTAGCTACTTTCCCTTATAGCTTTCTCTCACAGCAATTTTTAACAATAAGTGATTTTCTCATAGTTTACCAAACGGGTTGGACTTCCCAAATTTTTTTAAAAAACACTTATCACCCCAAATAAACAATGCCAAACGGGCACTAAGTGGTTTGAACCATTTTCATCTTCTATATAAGATGAAAAAATATCATCATCTTCATATCCCAAGAATACAACACTTTAGGTTCTCATTGCTAATATGCAGTCCCTTGTAGCATCAATCTTGTCTCTCTTCGTTTTGTTGGGTGCATTGGAAGCACGTTATAATCGCAGCTATAATCTTCAAGGCAACGTCCTCGTAAGCGCCACCATCATAGTTGATAAGAATGGCCATGGAAATTTTACCACAGTCCAGCAAGCCATTGATTCCATCCCATCAAATAACTCACAGTGGACTCGTATTCACATCAACCATGCCATCTACGTGTAAGTGTACATACAACCCTACATTATTCTCGAAGGAGACCTTGATCACTATCCTGTGAATGAATATGGGTGGAAATGTTGTTACAAGTCCTACATTTATAGCACACGCCGATAATTTTATTGCAAAGAATATAATATTCAAGGTAAAGTGTGCTCGTTTAAGCTGATGTGGTTTGTTCTGTCTTAAATATTCACAACTCTCGTAATTCTGTGTCAACAGAATACATATACGACCGTATTGACTTCACGGCGGATGTCAATGGGAGGCCTACTACTTGGGCAGTTGCAGCTGCAATCGATGGAGACAAACAGAGTTTTTATCAGTGTAGCTTCCTTAGCGTGCAAGACACATTGAGTGATGCCCGAGGCCGTCACTATTTTTATGAGTGCACCATTAAAGGTGCCATAGACTTCATCTTTGGCTCTGGCCAGTCACTTTATGAGGTTAAATCTCCTCAACTTTTCTCATATTTATTTTGATTAATTAACATTAATAGAAAAAGTGTTCTTAGATTGACTCAAATTTGTTTGCAGAAATGCCAAATAGTTTCAGTGACGGACGTGATAGGGTTTCCTGGGTATATCACAGCTAATGGTCGTGGTGGTCCAGACGACCCAGCTGGGTTTGTGTTCAAAGATTGCCATATATCTGGAACAGGCCCTATAAATCTGGGAAGGGTATATGGCAATCACTCTAGGGTTTTGTTTTCTGGGACATACATGGAAAATATTATTACCCCACAGGGCTGGTTGGCTTCATGGAATTATAGAACAGGGATTTAATTTCATACTCGGAAGCAAATTGTAGTGGACCAGGGGCAGATTTGTCCCAACGTGTGACATGGGAGAAGAAGCTATCGGATGAAGAAGTGGAAAGTTTAACAAATGCAGCTAAATTCATAGACCAAGATGGATGGTTAGCAAAGCAGCCAAAATAAGCCCTTTTATAAGAGCAGATTAAAATCATAAAAGGCCCCTGTATGAACTCTAGAAAAATCTTATTTGTTATTGCTTTATTCTTATGTACATTTTCCCAGATGTAGGATGTAATTTGTTTTTGTCAATGAAATAAAATGCATGTTATCGAGTTTGAATTTCCCTTTTTATGAATCAAAGCAATTTAAAATAATTTAAATTATCGTTTGTATATACGTAGAGATTTATTGTAATTCGAATTCATAAACCATGTACAAATATTATAGATTCACTAAGATGGCACCAATGTAGGAAAATGTGAACTACCGACCAACTTGGTAGGCCACCAAGTTACTAGAAATAGAAATAGAGATTCACCAATAATATGGCACCAAAAATAAAAGTAAACCATCATAAGTAGACTTCAAGAATTGATCTCACCAGTATCTCTCAAACCAAAATTTACTTTTTACCTTAAATTTCACTAACATAAGGGGGTTTCACAAACTTTTATAGATTGATAATATGTTTTTTTTTTCTTAAAAACATTGAAGACGGAAATATCATTAGACTAAAAGTTAGTTGATATAAAATGATATTTTTAAAATTTTAAATATAATGTTGGTCTCGTCCGAATTTTTTTAAAAGAAACTTGAAAATTTTCAAGGTAAATCCTAATTTTTCTTTCCTCTCTTAGAAGGACTTGTGCTAATAACCAAAAAGTGACTTGGATTTTTTATCAATTGGGGGTGGGAATATGTATTTTTGAGATCTCTTCCAATATTAGTACCACTAGGACTAAGAAATTGTTGGTAATGCCAAAAAAATAAGCTGAAATTATAATTCAACAATGAAATGGATCAAATGTGTATGCTTTGCAGGGTCCTCCTCACTCCTGCTTATGTTTCATATTCCAAACCAAATGCTTCATATCCTAATGCGGAAATTTGGAATATCAAATATGACACATGGCATGGTATTATTGGTCCACGTAGTTAATTACGTGGCCCCACACTCCCCTCTTACCTCACACAGCCTCAAACTCTGACCCATCAAATTAGGGCCACACGATGAGAGACATAGGAAGACCACTTTGAAATGTCCGCTAACCGGCGGGTTCAGGAAACACCAGGCATGGATAAGGCCATGAAACCAAGCTAAAACCCACAAAAATTACGTCCAAGAAAAATAATTGAAAATATTGAGTTTCTATCACCAAAATCCTCAATCTTTCATGATACCCAGAAAAGTTTAGCCCCCAAAAACCCAACTTTGAGTCGAAGTTGTTCATGGAGTCTGAGCCATTAGTGATTGGCTTCAATTCCGTGAGGCATACTCGAAGCATTAGAAAGATTTTGATTTATCTGCGCCAAATTCCTCTCTTCTGAAACACAAACTTATGAGTTAACCACAAAAAAACCCAACTTTAAGTCTGTTCTTAAACTTTGAGAGGTACCCTTTGTGATTAGCTTGTGTTTTCCGAGCCAAAGTGAGAAAGTGAGCAAAAGGGTAGTTTAGTTTTGGAGGCTGCATGAGTGGGCAAGAACCCAACTGGTGTTTGAAGCCTTGGAGCCTGAAGCAACAGAAGCAATGGCTTTGGGTTGTGGTTGCACTGTCCCTCTCTCACAATATTCTCTCTCCTTCAAGTCCTTCAATTTATTCTCAGCTTGCCAAGCTTCGTTTCCATCGGCGCCGCCACGGCCTTCCTCTCGAATTTGTTATCGCATCGCTTCTCGCCGATGGTTGAATTTGAACCACATATCTGTGGGTTCTCGTAGGTAAAGCTTGTGTTTTTGGTTTGTTGAGTTTTATATCATTGTTTGCTAAGAAAGTGAAGGAAATATTATTGGCGCTCTATTGAGTCTAGTGCTCTTACTCATTTTAATTGGACTTCAATTCGTAGTCAGAGTTTTAATTGAGTTTATGATAAGTTTGTGTAAGGTTTGTGACTTATTTGTTCTTTTGATTGCTAGCTAGAAGTGCAGAAAGTTCGAATTTTGGATTGTTATATATTACTCGGACTTTCTTTTTAGTGTTGTATATAAGCACCCTTGTAAGTGTTAAGTTCTAACATTTTAAAGCAATGGCAAAATTGTTTTTAAAAAGAAAAAAAATCATAAAACGTTGAATTCTCAGTTACGAGTTGGAGGAAAGTGAAATGAAATCTGAAGCCATGGTCATGACTTGACAGAACTACGGAAATGTGATTAGTAACCCCTTGTCTTTTCCTCTTGGTTGGGTAACAGATTCAATGGTTTTAGTTCAAGGTGTTCAATAACCAACACCGACATACTCTTCAGCCATGTGGCTACTGAGAATGAGGTCCAGGAGGAAACATCAGCTGCAGAGCCTGATTGCTCGGTCTCAATTGTCAATCTTAATTCTGATATGCTTGAGACTGAATCTTTGAGTTTACTAACTGAAGACACTTATGTAGATAGTCTCCTGACGACACTGCCCGTAAGTTTAATGCTGTTCTATGAACCTTTTCTTCTTTTTCATTACCATTAAGCATTACATTACTGTTAGGTCCTGTCACCATTTTTTTCCCCTTTATTTAGGTTTTATCAAAAGAGGAGCAGCATACCCTTGCAGCTACTCCGGCCCATCCAATGGGATTATATGGTAATGTGTCTTTTCTAAGATGTCTTTTATGTGTCATTTGAATTATAAAATAGTTTATGTGGGTGATTTTGAATCCTTGAGGTGATTTCTGACCTGAAGAACATAATTTTTCAGCTTTGTATGCTAGTTGTCTAGCTGGGAATTTAGTGGAGCAACTTTGGAATTTTGCTTGGCCCTCTGCTATCGCATTGATATATCCAAGCCTTCTACCAGTAGCATTCATTGGTTTCTTTAGTAAGGTTGCTGTTGAGATAAATTAAGTATATAGGACAAAACGGAAGGAAACTATACTTTCTGACTAGCTCAATTTCATTTAAAACAGCTTGCAATAATTGCTGGGGGGCCTTTAGTTGGCACACTTATGGATCATTTTCCCAGAGTACCTGCGTATAACTGTCTTAATATTATCCAGGTGAGTAGTTTAATTTTCATTTTACCCAAAGATGTATTCAAGACAATTCTTCCAAACTTTTGACTTCAAACCTTTTCTTTCTCTCAGGCAACTGCTCAGTTGTTATCTGCAGCAATGATAATTCATGCACATTCTGTTCCTCTCTCTGTGTCATCCCTCCTTCTCCGCCCTTGGTTCATTGTACTTGTGCTAGCTGGGGCTGTAGAGAGGCTATCTGGTGTAGCATTGGGGGTTGCTATGGAGCGTGATTGGGTGGTGCTGGTACTGCTATTTTGAGGTTTCATTGTTCCATTAGGGCACTCACATACGCATGCATGCACACATAGTTTTTCCCTTCCAATATGTCATTGTCCTAAACTAGAATTGCCGTGTAAACAGTTGGCAGGAGTTAACAGGCCTATTGCGCTTGCACAAGCAAATGCCATTCTTAATCGAATTGATCTTCTCTGTGAGGTATTTTCTAATCTTATGATCATTTTTTCTTTTGTAATATCTCCATGGATTTTTCATATGTTGTTCATTTTGAATTATTTGCCCTTTTATTTGAAATCTGATTTGCAAATATTCCTTAAATTGAATACAGAATATAGTTATTCTTCTTAAAATCCACTGAATGAATTGTTTATGAATTGTTGTGATAGATGATAGTTAGGTGTTTGTTGAAGAAAAAAAGGTGATAATTTATAGGAAAGCTTGAGTCTGATAACTTTTTACTCATTACAGATAGCTGGAGCATCACTATTTGGCATTCTTCTCTCTAAGTATGACCCGGTAACATGCTTGAAGTTTGCCGGAGGTTTAATGGTGTGGTCGTTGCCTTTTGCAGTAATTTCTCTTCTCCTTGCTCACTTTGACTTTTTTGCTTGAAGAAATGTCGCTTTCATTGTTGACAATAAATTTCCATTTGTTAGATTGTTCTCACGTGCTTAACCAACAAGCTTTCTAGTGGGGTTCTTGACCGCCCTAAATGTTCACAAACCTGTTGTAAAGCATCCACTGAAGGACCCCTGATTGATACCAACGATATATGTAAGCTTGATGCTTCTATCTTATACATTAAGTAAATCTGACAACTGCTTTTGCAATAAACTTTACTGACTGGTTCCATTTTCTGGACAATCAGTGGATAAAGGTGTGGCAGCTATTAAACTTGGATGGAAGGAATACATGCAGCAACCAGTTCTTCCTGCAAGCCTAGCCTATGTGTTGCTTTATTTTAATGTTGTACTCACTCCAGGCAGTTTGATGACAGCATATCTAACACAAAGTGGTATTTGTCATACTTTTTCACCTTTTATATGCATTTTTCAGGAAAGACCTTCATTTTCAATAAATTCAAGCCCCAGGTTCTGAGGGCATGCTATAGCTCGGCCAAAAAGTATCTCATCAACATGCATTTAAGAGTAAACATTATGCACATTAGAGGGCTTTCTAGCAGTTAGTAGTCAGTGACCCTACTGATTCATGCATTTAGTTTATTACATCCATGGTATTGGGTATACTTGTTTCTTTTGGCTTATCAAGAGATAAAGTGTCGTCTTTGGCATGATTCGTGAAACCCAATTCTAACTCCAAGATATCGTGGCATTGTTTAACAGGTTTAAATCCATCTATCATTGGGGGTTTTAGTGGACTATGTGCTTTTATGGGTGTTGCAGCAACGTTTGTGTCTTCATGCCTGGTCAGGCGGCTTGGCATTTTGAAGGTTGCCTAATCTGCTTCATTACTGTGTTACAGTCCATTTTCAATTTGTATTCTGTGTCTACATCTCATGGAATTTCTTTACCAGGCAGGAGCAGCTGGTTTAATATTTCAGGCTTCACTTCTCACTGCAGCTGTTGCTGTTTATTGTACTAGATCTTCCTCCCAGCAGAGCCCCCTTCTTTTCTTCCTGTGTTTGATTGTAAGAATCATTTATCTATTTCTTGTTTTCCTATATGAGATAATAGATTAAACTTGAACTGTAATTCTAAAGCTTACAAAGAAAGGACTCAATAGTTCAGAAACAAGATGTGGGGTTGGAAGATTGGCTTCAGCTGTGGTTGTGATTGGGATGACAGTTGGGTATGAGCAGCTCAAAAAATCATATTATTGATTTGATTGGACAATGGGACTTATGACATTATGTTGGATTCAAAAGCATGCGGAAAAGTTGGATGCCCCTGCATCACCCACATTGTACTCGTTTACCAAACATAAAACACAGTTGATGGGCTTTTTTCCATGCTTTTCTTACATTTAATTGTATCCTTTATTTTCATCGAGCTCTGATGAACGGCTACCTTTTGCATGCAGGTATTATCAAGGCTGGGACACATGTCCTACGATGTGGTGGCGGTACAGATTCTTCAAACTGGGATACCATCGTCCAAAGCAAATATTATTGGGACAACAGAAGTTGCTGTTGCTAGCCTGGCAGAGTTTACAATGTTAGGAGTTGCAATAGTTGTCAATGATGTTTCACATTTCGGCTCTCTAGCCGTGCTGTCACTCCTATCAGTAGTCGGGGCGGCGTGGATGTTCTGTCGTTGGTTGTTGAATCCAACAGATGAACAAAGAACTCTTTTCTCTTTCGATGCTCAGTGTCAATAAGCGAAGTAAGTTTTGTCTTTTTATGCGTTCGACTCGATTAATCTTCAAACGTTTTTACTTGTCTGTCAAGTCTGAATGAACGATTTTAACATTGCTACTAATCATCTGCAGTTATACTTTCTGAGGGTGCAAAGGCTGTTTGACGAAAATCGGAACAAAGATATAGCAAATACCTTTTAGGCGCCCACATTTTTCTATTGATAGAGGCATATGTTGGCTGTAGTGTAGCATCCGTGACACGCCTTTGTATCATATATCATATATATAATCTATATGGACTTCAACAAGCTCAACTTGTACATACATTTTGAAACATTTGTAAAGCATTGATTTATTCAAAATATTTTTCCTGGAGATCATGCTCCAATTCGAGCCAAATGTCCTCACATGTTTGCTGAGATATTGTGCTGAATTTGAACAAGATTCTTTCTGAAGCTCAGTCATTTGTGAAACAATGGAAGTAGAATGAAGGTAGCTTCTTTTGAAGCCATGAAAGCAGAAAGACGGTGAAAAGTTACAGGCAGGCCTCTCTTTTTTTTGGGTCAACACAGGCAGGGCATTAAAGCAGCAAAAGTTACACAATCTTATGGTGTTGGTTGTGTGATCAGAGAATTCGAACTTATTCCAGGTTGATTGACTATAATAAAGATGAGAAAAAGCTGTGGTATTTATTTTTCACCTGCAATAACAAATAACAATGTTATTATAGGTAAAGCTGCAATGGGGTTGGGCTCTGCATAAAGCTTGTAAATTCTCTCCCTCCAAAAACAACTTTGTTGGACAACAATGATTTTGATCATTAACCAATAGAAAAGTGCCAACTGGCACTATGGCATCTCTCCTCCTCTTCCTCGTATGGCTAACATAAACTTGATTAACTTATAACTTGTAACATTAAAGTTTAACATCTGCTCTGCTGCGGCGGGCATTGGGTTTTGCATATGAACAGCACGTACCCGTCACGCTTCACCCCTTCTCCCAAGAACCTTTTACCATATACCTCACCTCATTAAACTCCCTATATAATTTAAGGTTCAATGCCCAAACTCTTATGTAACTCTGTGCCACGCCACTTCAATGTATCAGAATGTGAAAAATATTTCCCGTTTAATCATTTGAAGGGCAAGTTTCTTACGAAGATAAATACTTCTACACTAAGTTGTATTCTCCCAATTCTTCATCTTCTTTAATAAGTAACATGACGGGAGAAATAGAAAGAATGATAATAGGAGTACGAAATTTAATAAATCAGCTTAATGCCATGTTTGACTAGTTAATTATTGGTGCTGCAAAACAGTTTTTTGAATGCATTAGCACCAACAAAGTAAATGCGCATTTGCTTTGAAAAGATAGATGTCATTCACAATTTCACTTCAAATTTCACTTCTCTTAAATAATTGACTTCACCAAACAATTCATTTATTCATTTATTTTATTTAAAAATATATATACTTGAGAATAAAAAAATGGAGTTCAAGTTACAAAGCAATGAGAGTGAGTCACGTGAATCAAGGCAAGGCAAGGCAGAGAGTGAGGTAGTGGCTACCGCCATCTCCTAAATATCACGTCCCCGTGTTTGTCGCGTGTATTCAACGTTTCTCTTTCTCCTCTCCTTCTCCTCCTTCTCTTCCTCCTCCTGCTGCTGTCAACATTACGTTGGTAAGAGCTCCCTTCTCTTTTCTCTCTCGCGATTTATCATCTCATCTCATCTCATCTCATCTCATCTCATGCTATCAAATTACAGAAAATAATAATATTTATTCATTATTTACTATATTATTATCTCTTTTGTCCACTGTCATTGTTACTTTTATGAACAGTTGTGAATCCTAGTTTTTGCAGAAACCAAAAACAGCTTAAAGAGTTGCAGGTCTTTATAGGTGTAAACCAAACCAAGTATGGAATTATCATAGTTGTCAATGTTATTATCATTAATAAAATTTATCAACATGTTATCGATACATTTTTAATAATATTACTGTTATGTCGATGTACACTCGTGTCATGCATAGACGATGTCGATATTATTATTGTAGGTAGTAACTACAGTAATCCCATTTTTTTAAAAAACAGGGAGGCTTTAATATTGTAAATCATGAGACTTTAATGTAAGATATTTACAAGAAAGGAACCTCATTTCAAGATGGAAAAAGAAAAATATAATGCTTACATAAAGGACAAGAAGCCTTTAAGAAAGTTAGGATTTTTGCAAGTTACATGTATTTTACACTTGAAATATGAGTTTACTATTTGTCTCAAAATCACTCCTTTACTATTAAATTGACTAGACAAGAGATTAAAACAGTGAATTTCAAGAATCGATATTCTTTTTATTTGTTAAGAAAAAGTCAAAAGTTTGGCTCAAGTCACGATAGATTGGTAGTAGTAGGCAGGCAGCTACTAATACTATGCATCTCAAAGCAAAGTTATATGCATATATATCTGAAATGAGGGAGAAATTCAATTCAAACTGATATATATAGAGATCAATTTTCAAGAAAACACCCAAACCTTTTTGAGGTAAACCAACAGCATCCCATTTCCCAAAACCAAAATAGAATTTCCATAAACACAGAGACCCACACTTGCCCCAAAGACCCTTGAGATGAGACATTTCTAGATGGACACCTTGAAAATTGTATAATTTGTATGTGTGAGGAGAGAGAGAGAGAGAGATCCCCTCCCATCAATCCCAATATCATATCATATCACACTTGGGAAAAAAAAAAAAAAAAGTAAAAAAGGACCATGGGAGTGTTAAAAACAGAAACCAACACTCCTCCCTTCTCTTCTCCATAACCTATGCTCTCCAGATTACCTCAATAACCCAAACGCCTTCACCATCATTTCCCATAACCCACTGCCCCCACACTCCATCATTTTCAGCTGGACAAAGTGTGAAAAGTGGATGAGACTTGTGGATAAAATAATTACTGAATGGCAAAAAAGAAAAGTAAAAAAGGACCATGTGAGTGTTAAAAACAGAAACCAACACTCCTCCCTTCTCTTCTCCATAACCTATGCTCTCCAGATTACCTCAATAACCCAAACACCTTCACCATCATTTCCCATAACCCACTGCCCCCACACTCCATCATTTTCAGCTGGACAAAGTGTGAAAAGTGGATGAGACTTGTGGATAAAACAATTACTGAATGGCAAAAAAGAAAAGTAACAGTCGCATTTCCATGATTTTACATCACTTGTTGAAATTCCTCAAACCCTTATCCTCCAGCCATTAGTATTTCTTTTTGTTGCTTCAACTAATATCAAAATGAAAGATTAGAAGAAGTAATTAGAGTGTGAAGCAGGGGAAAAAGAAGTGTTCTTTTTTCACCACAAGCTTCTGTTGTTGTTTGTTGCCACAGTGTTCTGGACTTGAAAGCGCCCATCTTTTCATGTCTATTGACACTGATAGTTGATACATCACTTGCCTTGTTCATGTTCTCCTCTTTTTGACCCTTTTATTATTTCTCTCTCCCCCTCTCTATTTTTACATCCTTTTCAAACACTGTGTTCAAGTAATACATACTCTCAAGTCTAGAGAGAGAGAGCGAGAGAGCGATAGAGAGATAATGGGGTCTTTGCCAGGTGAAACCGCAAGGAAGAAGGCAATGTGGCTCTATCCAAAGGTTATGGGATTAAATCCTTCTGAGAGATGGGGGCACTCTGCGTGCTACGCTCGTGGGGTTCTGTATGTTTTTGGGGTATGTTCTAATTTTCTTCCATGAAAATCAAATTTTGTTCATCTTTTCCTTCTTTTTGATAATTTTGAACTGTTTGTCTGTGTTTATATTGTGAATTAATTTTACAAATTTGCAAGTCTGATTATAATGCAGAAATGGTTTGCTCTGAGCAGTTGTTCTGCTCTTAATTTTTCTGTTTGTGTTGATTTTGTTGATGCATGTTGTATGGCTACCTTACTTCGTTCTTTGGTCAAAAGGAAAGTACTGTTTTTATTTCTTGTTACTGCAACTGGCTGATGACAAACTTGCTTTTTTTTACTGGCTGTTGGTGTTTCCTTATTTCTCCTCTTTTAATCCTTTTGAGAATGCTTTTCCCTGTTTCCTGTGTTTCTCTTATTAGTAGGGCAGACATTTATGTGGTAGGTGATAGTTGCCTTCTTGCTTTTCTTGATGTGGTAATTACCATATTTCTCTTTTCTTTTTTCTTTTAGGTTTTTCTTCTCATAATTAACTTGAAAATTATCTTGTGTACTTTGAAATTATCCATGTTCTTTAACTATTTTCTTAGTTGTGGGAGTAAAATTTGTGTTTTCCTGTATTAAATTTTCATTTTATTGGGTTGTTTTAGAGCAAATTAAAGCAATAAGGTTGGAGCTCATGCATCAACTGTTTCAAAATCTGAATTCTTTGAGGCATACTTCTTGGATCTTCTACATAATCGACCAAAATCGGTGTCATTAGATTTCCATAACTAGTTTGTCCTGTTGAATCTTTGTGTTGTGTAACAAAGATGGCAAAACTTCCTTGAACTTGGTACTCAGATTGCTGTTTATGGTTTTCATTTCTGTATGATATGGTACAAGGGAAAGCTACAAAATGTACATTTTCGGTAATGTGATGCTATGCTGCATCGTGATCTCATCCTTTTGTTTTTCCAATTTAGGGATGTTGTGGAGGTATGCATTTCAGTGATGTTCTTATGCTTAATCTTGAAACAATGGTCTGGAACACTCTTGCATCAACTGGTCAAGGGCCTGGTCCCAGAGACAGCCATAGTGCCGTTGTTCTAGGGCACAGGATGATAGTTTTTGGAGGTACAAATGGCTCTAAGAAGGTAAATGATCTTCATATATTGAATCTTGTGACCAAAGAATGGACACGACCAGAATGTACCGGGACTCCACCTTCACCCCGTGAAAGCCACACTGCCACACTTGT